TTCTAAAAGTCAGTGGCATGGGGGAGGGAGGTGCTTTAGCTCTGATGCGGGGTTGTCTGACTGCTTTCTACCAGGAGTTGGTTTTGAGGGATTTGGGATGTGTTTTGCAGCAGCTCATTATTCGTTAAAGAAAGAATGTGGAGGGGTTCCACGCTAATAATTTTTGCACATGGCGCATAACTTACCAGTAGGAACAGCCATTCCTATGCTACTGAGTGCCCTGTTGCTTAGCTGCACTTGGTCGTGCTGAATCTGTAGATGGGCCCAACGCATGGTTCAAAGCTGCACAGCTAAATATGAATGCTGTACGCCCAGTCGCTTGGTGATTGCCAAATGAAATGTTAATGTGCTTATGCCCTCTGGATCCTCAGTTTCGTCTTTTCGTTGCATCCACCTTTTCTCTCTGTCATGCTGTTTTGCATAGTCGTAGCGGTGAAGGTTTTGGCTTGTGGTCTGTGTCCTGTAGTTTAGCATCGTAACTATCGACTGAATACATTGGGGTGGAATCTGGTAGAGACGGAAGATAGTCATCCTTTGTCTACGTTGGGCAAGGATCTATTATGGCTACTTTCTGCTTGATACAGCAGGAATCCATGCATGTTTCTACTAGTTCTCGCACATTTGCAGCATGCCCAGCAGTTCTTCCATTTTGAGTACCTAATTTCATGGATACTTCCACATAGTCATCCTCAGCTTGTAGATGCTTCTGTGGCTTATTTTTACCATATTGGCCGCACCATCAAGTGATTTGCTTCATAAAGACCACTGAGGGAGACATCTGAAGTTCTTGACCGTCAGCGGTCGCCTCAGACTTTGGGAATCCGGTCAGCTTACTCCAGTTGAATGGCAAGTGCATCTCATTACCTTCATCTGAGCTCTTTCTTGCGGCCCAGGTCGTCGAACATGCACGTTACTACATCTACGCAGTCAGCTTGATTCGACATTAAAACTGCACATTCGGCATTTTATGCGTCAACAAGCTCAGTTCGGTTCAGCAGGTGCCCCGTACGCTGGGGAGTCCCCACGCAACTGACGAGAACATGCACACAACCACGAACAAGCCACGTTGACGCGAGGCAAAACAGCAATGCAGGAAAGCTTATCTCTTCCACTACATGGTCGGTCCCCTCTTGCTAATTCCTGACCAGTCACCTTTCAACCAGAGGTCAATTTTGAAAGATTACCGTTCTGAGAACTACATTTTTTGCGAAGCCATGGGAGCGTTTTCCGTCCCTGAGGACACACAAAAGGAAACGGGAGCAGAATTTTTAGGTAACCCATGTGGCGTGCAGCCGCAATCGAGAAGTCGCACTAGAGGGACACTCTCAGAAGACATCGTAAGGAGACAACACTGGAAAACACTCTAAACAGACTGCCCAGAAAAGGTGCCCTAAAGAGACGCTTGAGCGAGACACCTAAGAACGTACACATAGGTCGAATACGTTAGAGAAGACACCGTAAGGAGGTATCCAACCTAAGGGAAAAGGCACAGAACAGGAAAAACCCTAGACGGAGAGCCTGAAGGGCCAAGGGAGACGCAGTCAATCGTCTTGCTGAACGCGAAGGAGACTACAGACGACAGAGGCAGCAACTGAGGCCCCTTGATAGCAGAGAAAGCGAAGCTGGGCCTAGTCAGCGAGGAGGCGGTGAGTCGCCGGCAACAGAAGTAGAGGCGGAGACCTCACAGCAGCCGGCGCAGCACCAGCAAGAAAGCAACATAGGGAGACAGCAGCAGCAACAGCAGAAAATGGAGAGAGCTGTAGCTGTAGGGGTTTGTTGCTTGTTACAGGAAACAGCCCAATGCCACGCACGTGGCATTGGGCTGTTTTCAATGATATTTCTCAGAATCCTACAGTCACCAGGCAGCATGGACAGAAGACGTGCATTCTTCGCATAGATACGTTAACTGCAGGAGAGATACATTATCGCAAAGCTCATGAGTTCGCTCGATCAACCTTTACAAGGCTCGTGCCTCCGAGGCAGTTTTTCTTGACGTAAGCACCATTCCCGTTTTCCCTGTAGCGAGCCTTGTTTTATTTCCCAAGAAATAAAACGGCATATAGGAACTTTCAGAGGCAAGAAATTGCCTCCCTTGATAGCTCAAGAAGCTTCGTGTAACGCAGTCCTCATTTACTGTCTGCAGCTCTGAGCGTTTTCTCCATCTTATTTTTGGCGCTTCAAGGTCAAGCCTACTCTTTCAGAAGATAGTATCATCTGTACCTGACAAAAATTCAGATAATTGATGTGCTTCAAGATTCATTATCCTATTTGCTCTAAGAGGGAGTGGTAAAATTTCTCTTCTGAATATATTTCATGGGAAATAAGGCTGTGTGCTTTTTGTCGTCAACGCATGTGCTTGACGAGCCCTTCTGTCCTGTCTTTGCATACTTCTTGCCGTGAGTTGTTGAATTACTTCGACTTTCCTTTACTTGTATATATAGAAGTGAGCCAGAGGAACTTGTAGTTGAAATGAAGGTGATGAAAATAGCTTGAGGCATAGCAATAATAAGGCGCATTCGACTATTGCGACTATTCTCTGCATGCATGCATATAAATAAGCTACATAAGACTGCAACGGAAGAACTGCAGCAATAAAACAGTAGCAGAACTTAAAATATAGCATTAGGAGTGTCAGGAGCCCTGTTGAACGGCTCTCTTTCCTCAGGCAAACGTACAGAAGGCAAAACTTCTGTGATGAAGCCACAAAGAGGCTACTACGTAGGGCTGGAGCTTCTGAGGATGGGTCAGGTCACAGTTAAGTGGAGCTCATTGATATTGCTCCAGTAGCTGGCGTCAATAAAGTGGGGTTCACCGCCTTCTAAGCAAGTATCGTCGTCTATTCCATCTATTCGCTCTACCCTAGGCGGCAGCGTCGCAGTAAATGCCTAGCAGTTTACAAAGTTGGAACGTTTCTATCAGAATCCCCGAACACAGCAATCTTCCAACCATTTCATGAGTTAGGCAATGAGTTTCGGGGGTTCTTTTTGGATTCCCAGAGCTTTCAGCAGAGCAGGATGTTTCGTATCGGCTGGTAGCTCCTAGACGAACGACAAATCCGCACGTTTTTCAGTGGCAGAAACGCACGCTATGCGTAATGCATACTTTGGAGGGAATAAGGTGAGAATGCCCCAGCATAGCTGCGCACCTCAGCTAGCTCTCCACGTCCAAGGTAGGGTTATTTTGCTACTTCCGCAGATTCGGAAGATTTTACATGAATCCCAGAGTCGCCCTCGAAACACGTGTCTAAGCACCTGTCGTGCCGTTACGTGCTTCGCCAGGGCTTGGATATACCTGCATCTGCAAATGTAAACTTTAAGGAGCGAAAATATCTATAAATTCCGACCCGCTACAATCCATGAAGGCTATTGCGAAACTTTGATGGGTGTACAGCATCTGAAGCACGGCATGGTGATGTACAGAGTTACTGTACATACTTTATAGTGTCAACTATCTTTCTCAGATTAGATTGTCTAACAGGTCTGTGAACACTCGACTTAATGGTCCCGGTCACTAGATCGCCACTTCTCGTGAGCCACTGCCCAGATACTAGAGCGAAGCAAAGAAGTAGACGCATCAGTGCAATGGGCGCCGTGTGCACGAAGACTGCCTCCGTCCTTCTTCAAATCTCCGTACCTTCCTTATCTCCGACCGTAATGAGAACCGCTCATACCAACAGCAAAGTAGTGGCCATGAAAGTCAAAGCACTAAACATGATCAAAGAACATCGTTAAAGCCGTGGAACGCGGGGGAAGCGCTTGAATGCTGGCCAAAGCGCAGCAGCCACTCATCATCCGGCAACATTGTAATGCTGCAGCGCTCAGCAAGAGCAAATACATAAGATGTTGACTCAGCATCCCCTTGTTGGGGGACAAACCATATCGAGTGGCTTCCTGAGCTGACATCTGAGTGCAGCAACTAGCATCTGTTGATATAACCACTCCAGGCGGTCCGTTTGCAATTCAACCTGCATTGAAGCTATCAGCACTGCTTCACGGGCTCTACAGTAGCCTGCGGGAGGCAGGCAAGCCTAATTGAGCATGCCATTTCGTGGGCTTCCATGGTGAGGAATAGTGATACAGAATTCATGCACACAAATGGCGCAGCGCTGGGCAGAAAGCGCTTGGAGTTTGCAAACGGCACATGTGAGCTTTAGTATCCATTGGGCCTGCCAGTGTGATATTTTCACAGTAAATGGGACGCGAAGCAATCATTTCACTGTGCATATTTCAACTTGTCTAAAGCCGACAGTTTCAGGTAGCCTCCATTCGGCGGTGTCTTTTCTAGTGGCTTCTGAGTTAGCAGCAGTACACACTTCGGGGGCCCCTCCACAAAGGGAGCAGCATGTGTCTTCAAATATTACTGCAAGACGCCTCATCTGCCGACTCCAGTTGTTGCTTCTTGTTGGGGCGCAGCTCTGGTCACTGGAAGCTGCTTGTGTGGTGAAAAACTTTGTGTGCCCAGCTACTGTACCTTTTATCAGAAAGGAATGCAAATTCTCTTACGAGCATTTCGAATTCTAGTAAGTCTGGGTGCAGGCTGGTCATCAGCCTCTAAGTATTCGGAAGAAATCTTCTTCTGTTACGTGCAGTGATTTTCCAGGGGAAGCATGCGCAAGCATTTCGCGAAGTTCTTCGTCCGACAACTGTTCCCCCAAGTCGTTGGATGCCTTTTTTAAGTCATCCCACGTTATCACATCCTTGCCATTAGAAAGAGCCAAGAAACCTGCGGCGCGTGCATCCGCAATGTGGAACATCGGCTGTGTTGTAGTTGTGTTGTGGTCCATGCCTTGGCTTCAGATGTAGTCTGCACCGTACTTAGTTTTCTCATACCTTTGCTAAGCTGCTCTCGGGTTGGCTTTTCATTCATTTTGATTTTCATGATCTCCAGAAAGTCATTGTAGTCTAGTTGCCCCAAGGATTCCTGCTCAGTACCTTGAATTGCTGCACAGAAAACGCACTCACACAGAGCAGCATGCTCAAGATGCACCACAAATGTTACGCTTAATCGTCCTGTTTGGTGTCACGTACACAAGTATCAGGCTTCTCCTGATGACCTATGTCATCCAACAACATGGATAAGCTTCGGACTAGCCGAACGATGAAAAAAGTGACGGTGTCAGAGGTCAGAACACTCGTACTGTTTCTTTGCTTATCCGCTCCCTCGTTATTCCTTGCAACTTTTCTATTCCGTTCAACTTCTGCAATAAGCCTCTTCAGTTCATCTCCTGACGGTTCAAATCCCAAGGCTCTCAAGGCCACTCTCACTTCCTTTGCGTCAATTGTCCCCGTGCCCTCAGCATCGAAGAGGTCAAATGCTTCCTTGATATCAGCTCGCTGCTTCTCAGTGGGCTCTAAACGGGGTCTTCGACCCCCCTTCCCAGCTTTACTTGATCTCTCTGGCATTTTGGTGAGGAATATTTGTCGTCAAATTTAGAGGTTATGCGCATGACATCTCAGCCCAGGACTTCTGCAGACGTTGTTTGACAGAGGTACGGGAGGACCAGGATAACCAAGATAAAATCCACGCTGTTCAAGCAAGTGTGGTTGCTGAAGTTACCACGGTGTCCACGGGATTCAGTCTGATCCTCTGATGCACTCAGTCGAAATCACTAGCTCAATAGTTAGGCACCTAGCGCTGCAAAGTCTGTGAGGTGACCTCTGAAGCATAATAAATTGTCAGTCTTTTGGACTGTGCTGAGCCCAGGAGAATAAGACCAAGCTGCACTGCGCAGGGTCACTTCCTCCGCGTGCAGGTAGGCTTAGCGTGGGCCTTTAAGGAGTTTCCCGTTCAGAAAAAAGAAAGTTCCTGCTTTAGTACACGTCAGCTGTGCGCAGCAAAGGCTTTATAACATGTGCTCTACTGTAGAGAAGTAGAACTGATATTATTCGTAGTAAAATCCAGCCTAGAGTCTCATGGTGCAGCCCGCTGTGCCACACCCAAGTGACTAGAATTTACTAAGACTTTTCCCCATGTGCAGATATTCAATGACAACCATGATGAAAGCCTATTTAAAACATCATTGTCCGTGCTGGTTCAACGCGTCCAGCCAACCAGGTCAAACGTTGGTCCTGTGTCATACCCTGAAGAGCCCCGAACGGCAAACTCCGACCGTGAAATGTTTCAGCACGTTTTAGCCACATACAAGAGTTATGCTGGTTTTCTCAATGCATTTCTCATACTTTTTTCCTTCATTGGATAGCGAAGCCCTCCGAAGCCCCAACAAGGCTAACTGGTGGGCTACCACGCGCCTGGCAGCCTCGGAGAAGTGGCTTCTCGTGAACAGGCTCAGTGATGTATTAAACGACTACAGCGCGAGAGAGCCTGTTTGTTTTTTCAACTGTAAATCTTAAGGGAGGTGAATTGGCGTGGGGTTTGGTCGTCTCACGGGCCAATGCTCGGGCCAGGCGTATTTGTGGCGATCCTGGCACGGTACCAGCCATTTCAAATTCCTGCATTGTGAAGACAGGGATTAAGCTCCTCCCACCATCCGCATCACGCTCCGTGCATTGCTTTTCAGCGTCTGCGCTAAGGCAAGCACTGCCCTTCGACGTCACATTGAAAACGGGAATAGAAGCTGTTATTTGCACAGGCGCGTGTGTTAATTCAATCCAGCATGGGCACGAGCATGTGCTCTAGCATCATTATGAGGTAGCATGGTGAATGGCGACAGTTTGGCGTGTGGCTCCTGGAATAGCTTACCTCGGTGGAAATGTTGAACGAGTACGTGACGGAATTCAACAGCCTGCGTGCTGAGGTGGAAAGCATGCTAGATGATCATGAGTCCGGCAGAGATACATCGCGAATGCCAGTGCTTGCACAGTCAAAGCTGAGCGAAATCAAAGGCAAGGACTACAGCTGTTTTGAGCGACATGCCCTTGCTCAGGTTGCGCGGCAGTCAATGACCCGACAGCCGCCGAGGAACTTAGCTTTTCTGTGACTTTTTCTGCTCCGTGAATCGTGGCATCTGATCTGATACTATGAATGCCCTCAGATTGCCTTGGGGCATTTGAAATGGAATTGCGTTCAATGTCCCTAGCTCAGCGAAACTGCCATTTAAGTCAGCTCCAGACCTGCCGCAATGAGTTTGCCTCCCTGGAACGCAGGTGTGAATTTTTACTGCCAAGCGCTGACTTGAACTGAAATAAAACACAGGGGGAGACAGAATCAGTGTTTGCTTTGCCGTGCCATCAAAGCGAGGCGGTAGTGTTTTGCCTGCAATGTTGGCTTGAGTGCGCTGCAGATGCCTGCTAGCTGCTTCGGGTGCGAGCAAAGCGCCTACAACCACTGAAGGGAGACAGTGTGATCATACTTTGGAAAGGCTTAAGAATGCGAACGTTCAGGTAAGGCATAACGCCTGGAATCAACGTATCCTTTCGTGCTTTCTTGCCGTGCTGCTCACATGCGTAAACCCTTTTTCCCGACCGGAAGCACTGGCAGTTGAGGCCAGATCTCCCTTTTCGTTTCGGCGTTTCTCAGCTAGCCAGCACACGAAAACTTGCCGAAGAAACTGAAGAGGTAGGCGCGAATATCCTTTGCAATCTGTACATGCAAAGGGAAAGCATTCAACGTGCCAAAGGTCACGCTGAACAAACGGATGCAAGCTTGAGTGAGTCAAGGTCTTTAATATCGAAGATGGGGAAATGGTGGTCCGGGCTAATTGGCTAGCCAATCGATTTGGAGAAGAGCGCGCCATAAGCGCATACTTCGTTAGGGTTTTGGCCCCCGCAGGTGGTACAGATATTGGGCCTGCCCTTTTTCCACTGGCTAAGCCGTACTCGAGTTTGGCTTGTTGCCTGCTGGCGAAACTGGGGACCTACTTTGCCGCACACCATTTTGTCGACCTTTTCTTCAGTAAACTGTACGCAGGGTCATTTACACGGTAGATTTATACACCGTATCAACCAGCAAGACGTTTTAGAGCAGATTCATTACGTTTTGGTAGTACTGCATTTCCCCCATTCAGTCAATAGCATGTTATAGTTGCCCAGTCGTATGTGTAGCCCAGAAGCCTAGCGGAGCTACATGGAGCCAAATTTTAGTCTCTCTGAGGACGGATTTCGACGCAGTGCGCCGAAGGCTCATCCAGTGCAGACTGTCAGCGCTTCGGGTGCATCCCTTAGGGAATGCGCCGGCAATGCCTTTGAGACACGGGAGGCCCAAGCCCCTTTGAAAATTGTGGAAAAACCATTGGTGGGGAGGCGTATTGATTATATACAGGGCTACAGTGCAAGGTTCCACGGATGGTGCCGTACCGAGGATGTTTCACTGCAGCGGGCCCCGGCATGGCTTATAAGATATGCGAAGCGTCTAGATACATTTGAATACTGGCGCAAATCAGATAGCTGTAGATGTGTACGCATCAGTATGAAAGTCAAAGAGAAGTGCAGAAGAGCATCACATTTGAGGGTAAAGCACATAACAATCACTAGTAAGGCAATCTGCCCTTGCTACGAAGAGAACTTACGTAAGTCTCATCCATAATATTTATGACAGCACAGTACAGTAAGAAATCTGAAGGAGGTTCCGCAGTGCACGGAGTGCCGTAGTGCGCGGGAAGCACCGGTGGTCACCCCGTTCGTCGGTCGGCAGCCACCAAGATTAGCCCTCTGGTCACGGCATCTGGGCATGCAACATCAACTGTAATTAAACACATTCAAAAATATATCTGGATTTGCATGCGGCTTGTATTTCAGCGGAAGTCAGGCTCTTTGTAGGAGCAGCGGGACCTCATGCGAGTACGCCTACTTGCCTGTAGGCGGCATCAAACAACAGGTATCATGACTGAATATTTGACTATCGCACTGTCAACAAGCTTGGAATATTAATCAGTGGAGCTGTGGAAGGCTTCATGGAGTAGTTCTTCAGTATTTTTCCCGAGGGTGTATTGGAGAAGCGGGTTGAGACGGTGTCCTGAGAAACCCATACGCCATATGCCTTTGTCCACGGCTTTTTTCACCCAGAAAGGAGAACAATCAGGAGCATTAAATGCGATTAAGCCGTTGAACGGTCCGGTAGATCGCTCCTTGCCTCAATTCTAGCGAAAAACACCAGAGCCACTCTAGAAACAAGCTTCAATGACGCGTCGTGATTTGCCGAGAATAGCGGAGGTACAGGCTCTAGAGGCCATGGATGACGATACCGAAGATCTTCCAGTATTTGTATCCCCCATTCCAATACACCCAACCCCCACGCTGACCCGCGTTTCAACAATAGGTGAAGGACTTGCCTCCCCTGGTGCTGAAGCCCTGTTTCCCTTGTGGAAGCGACAGCTGCGCCGCTCCAGGTCAAGCGAAGCAAAACAGCAAGCTTCTTATGTGCTCCATCCTGTTTCCCAGAAGAGCAGCCTTCTAGAACAGTTCGAGGGCAATGACCTGGGCGGCCAGTGGATGACCCCAAGAATTGGAGCTGCTGGCAGATTCAACCGCACAGATGAAGCTGCAAGTGCAGCTGCAGTGGCTGCTGCAGTTGCCGCAAACACACCTCCGAAGATAAGTGACGTAACGCATGCGTTTCTGCACACGTTGGCTGGAGCAGCGGGGGCCGTCGTGGCGATGGGAGTCGTTTACCCTTTAGACTCCCTTCGCACCATCCAGTCAGTCCGAGGAGGAACTGTTTGGGAAGTTGCTAACCTCCACTTGCATCATGGCGGCTGGAGGCGCTTATATAGGGGGATGAGAGCTGCACTCGCAGGAGTTATCTTCAGCTGGGGCACATACTTTTTCGTTTACACGTTAGCGAAACAAAAGGAGAAGAACCGGTGGGTAGTACATTTTAAGCAAATTTTCTCACCGTAGGTCGAAGCGTCTTTAAGCGAGCGAAAACGTGATTGAAGTGGTACCTGTTGGTATGGTCGATTTTGGAGTATTTTTTCACAGCAGAGGCCCAAAGCCCAGAACTGGCACGAATCTCCCCATGGCGATTGGTGCAGGAATATGCTCTACAGTCATTAGCAATCCATGTAAGTACTAAACAGTCTTGTAGCTAATGCTAAAGGAGCCTATGCACTCCAAAAGTAAAAGATTCCAGGTACTGGTATGGTGCTCTTGAGCAAGATGGGGTCGGAGTGCTGCTTCATATTCTCACTCAGTCTGGGTGGCCAACACTCGGCTCAAGGTTGATTTTTCCACTAAGGCTAAAGAGCAAGTAAGGCCTTCGGAATTAACGCTACCCCGCGACAAACTGCCGACGCAGTGTAGCAAATAGGACGCAGGACTTGACCAACCAAGTCATAGTCCGGTGCTTTGCGATTGTTCCCGCGTGCTTAGTGATGTGCTGTTGAGGGATTCCAGGGGATTTTCAAGATGCTGGTTGAAATTCTCCAAGAAGAAGGATTTCGCGGATGGCTTGCTGGAATAGTACCAGCGCTGGTTCTGGTTCTGAACCCAGCTATTCAGTTTGCTCT